TGTACTATATATATATATATACATAGAATTTTGAACGGTGTGTTCAGAAACTATGAGAATAGGGATAGTAATAGAGGGATATGATTCACACAGGGTTAATTCTAATATATGATTTAGTGATTTGTCTCAGCTGCACCTTACAATTTTGAAGCCACTTGTCACGCATTATATATTATATGAAGTTTCTTTCTTGATTAGCTAAAATAACATAGCAATAAACTATATAGTAAAACAAAAAAAAAATGAAGTAGCTTTTATTGCTGAAACATTTTATAAATCAGTTTCGGGCAAACTCTAAAAGTGCACTTTCGAAAACTATTGAAAAGTTGTTAAAAAAAGCAAAATGGTATGACTATGACAAATTTCGTTAAACTGTAACAATATTTAATTTTTTCATTTTAAAACTAATTAATGTCAGCGATATTTGTAAGGGCTTTAAGAAGCATAGATTTCAAATTACCTAACTATTAAAATCCATTATTTATAGCTTAGATGTATCCAAGTTGAATTTCTATAAAGTTGATTTGCATGCCTCTTTTATCATATTTTATAAATCATAATATATTTAATAAATATATTTGAAAATTTTTTTACTGATTTTACTGATTTGTTCTATTTAATGTATGAAATAACGTTTTAATTTTACCAAAAAATGCAATCAATTTTGCGATCTTTCAAAATCATATCAACTATATTTTATATTTAGTTTATTTGCGAAGAAAAAGAGCACTACTTACTTATGAACTTAAGCAGAACGATGTAAATTACGCACTTGAATTTTCTCAGTGTAGTAATTTGATAAAAAAAGCTTTTAAACCATGGCTTTAAACTCTAAAATTATTTTTAAAAAAGAAATATTCCGAGTTAGTCTATTTTTTATATATGGTTAACAATTCACGTCTTGTAATTCACATTGATAAATTACCTAAACTTTTCTAAAATACAAAAATAATTTATTCCTCTATATTTAGATTTTCCCATTGCGGAGCTAAAAATTTCAAAATTATCACTTTATAGCATATTAATGTTAACATATCCATTTTAAATTTGATTTCGAATTTGCTAATAAATTTCATATTTAACCTATCAGATGTGGTACAGAAAATATCTACGTTTTTAAATCAGATACTATGTCTCGCCTGGAACACGATATACTTTATTACTTTTTAAAAGATAAATTTAGGAAAATACAGGAATTTTAAATTAAATATTTATTCTACGTAAAGTAAAACATTTTTTTAAAGAAATTTACGAGATATTACCAAAATCAGTCAAATAGAGAAGAGAAAGAATGGAAATAAATTCAAATATAAAATATGAAAAAGAACTTGAAGGTACGACTCTTATTAAACGTTTCACTTTTACTTAAAATGCTTATTGACTGACTTTAAGAAAAAATAAATAACATTTGAAACTTAAAATAACACAATATTAAATGATGTTAACAATTTCAATCATTTTTGAATTAAATAATAAAAAAAATAAATTATTAGAAAAATATTTTTTTGTGAGAAAATCGAATCTGTCCAAAAAATATTTTTACTATTTTTTCATAGAAATTATAATCTGTCTTCATAATTAGTCTTATTCAGTCTGATTTCTTAATCGAAAAATTCCTTTGCACTAATTAATTAGCGTATGATTTGTTAATGCTTTAAATCAGTAGAATTACCTTTTACTGCAGTGTAAAAAATTCCAATAAAAAGAACCAGCAATCATAGTGTTGCTACTTTTTTACTGTAAAATTCATTTTTACCGGAACATGTTACGAAGAAAACTGATATACCGCTATTTATACAGTAATACTTAGCATAAAATTATTGACTCACTCTAATTAAATATATATTACGGTATAATAGCTTATGGGAAAAACAGATTTTATGGTATATGGATTTCACGGATGATGGTGCCGTTACTTTGTACCGTAATTTGATCCAGAATTACAGTGTATGCGAAAAATCAATTATTCGATAAAAAAAAATTTCATGTGCGTTTTTTTGTGCTCTGTATATATTAATAATATTTTAATTTGTACTAGTTAATTTGTACTTATGAAATGTCTCACTCTAGAGATTAATATTAAGTATCCTCCGAACTGCGCCATTAATCGATTCGAAGAGATCGTTCAATTTCGTACGGAGAAAAAAATTACCATACTGAATAGCATTGACATTTCTGTTAAAAATAAAACATAATTCTGAAAAATGAAACTAAATTATGTGGTATTTAAACCAATCATTTGGTAATTTTTTCATTCACATGGTAGCAGTTTTCTGGATATTCTAGTTTTGAAAATTATAGTTCCTTATACCAAACATTAAGTAAGTTATATTTAACCAAATAAATAGTTTTTATGCTATACTTTAAGGTATCATAATAAAATTCTTAAATTTCCTCACATTTACCAGATTTTAAACATATTTTATTGCTAATTTTACCGAAATCATTACCAAAGCATTTCGGTAAAATTTACCAATCTTTTTGGGGTTCCCATAGAGACAGAAACGGAACAGATTTACCATACTCTGGTAGTTTTAACCATACTTTTTCTCTGAGCAACAATTTTATACTAAGGGGAATTATATTTATCTGAAAAAAGGAATAGAAAATTAAAAACTAATGTATCTAATATTAAATACAAAGTATCAAAAGAATCTTCATATTTCATCATGTATAGAATATCACTCATATACAAAATGTTGGAATTTTAAATCAAAGTAGCAAGTATATGCTATTTGAACTAAAATGTAATCGAGTATTTTCTCAAAAATCATTTAAAGTGAAAAAAAAAGATTATTTGGAAATTAATTATCTAACTATTAGTCATTCACTTATTAGAATTTACAAAGTACACTTGTAATTTTACGAAAACTGTATAAACATGTTTTTTACAGTTAATTAAAGTAATACTCAAAATTTTAAATAGACTCTGAATATTTTAAAAGATCCATAAGTTATAGTGTTAGAGTACTAACTATATTGCTATAATAATATATTTTTTCAAATTTGTAGACATTTGAAGACAAAACGAAAAAATTCATTACTTTTTTTAAATACGCTTAATTGACTTTTCTCTGCTGTATAACCATTTTAGTATTTGGAAATGGTTTTTGCCCCGATTATGATTTACGTATGACGTGTTTTGCTTTAAAAAACTTGGTTTATAATAAATTAATATAAATATTCTACGAATTAGTATTAACTACTTAATTTTTCCTGATAATTCATATGTTTAGTAAACCTATAATCTGTATTTATTTGAAAAGAGTTCTGAGATTTTAAATAAATTAAATATTCATTTTAGAAAAGCATTATTTCTTAGAATTTACCACTGAACAAAAAAAGATTAATAATTGTTATAATAATTTTGCCAGCATACGTATAATAGTTTTATTCAAATCATTTGTAACATTTCTGAAGTATGTTAAAATTTAAAATATTCTCTAGTGAATTTTGTTATGAAATTCTGTAATTTTTTCGTTTCACACATCATTCCGAACTAAAAAAATTTTTCTTCCCGTATTTCAAACATTACTGAATTTTAGTCAATATTATGAAATTTTAAAAAAATGCTATTTAAGGTATAAACTTTTATTATAATATTACTCGCGGAAACGGATAATTTATGTGTTTTCAGGAAATTTGGAATTTGAGATTTTATGTTAGAGAATGTGGAATTCTTATAAATTTATAGGAAGTATGAAAGTGAATTAGGATTTATTGAATAAAATAGCGCTGATCGCTTGAGTAAAACGTGATTTGTGTTCCAAATACCATATCACTAAATATTAGCTTATTTAATAGAGAATAGTGAGACACATTTGTTACTGGATAATAATTTTACTGTATTTTAACATCATTAAATAACGCACTTTAAAATTAACACGCAATTAAACTCTTGCATTTCTGAAATTTTAAGTATTTTCATCTTTTTACGTACCATTTTAGAGATCTTATGAGATCCAGTTAAGATTAAGTAAAATAAAATATCACGTTTACTTTATTTAATTTCAAAAACGTGAGTTGATTGAAGAGTTGAAAAAAAAAACATAACTTCTTTGAAAATATAATATATTACTTAACATAGTACATGCATTTCATTCTTCATTATAATCATTTTAAAAAAAATAAGAACAGAATATTGTGGAAGTGATTTTTTTCTAAATTTAATTTATTTGCATAATTATTTATAAATACTGGGCATTTTTATCTTTATAACTGAAAACATTTAAAAATTTTATTTCCTCTTGTTAGCACTAAAAATAATTGAGAAAAAAATTAAAACAGCTTAGTACTTTCATCCTCTTTGTTGTAAAAATTATTGAGTTACAAAATGGTTTCGTTAGTTAAAATGGCATTTAAAACAGACTAACAAAGTTAATGACGAAAAATAATAAGTAAGTGCTTCATATTATCATGAGTCTTAAAAATAGTTGATAGGTGTTCAGGCTTTAAAAGTAAAACTTTAAATTTATCGTACGCTGAAGATAAATTAGAAATAATATTTTCAATTCAATCTCATACAAATTTTATTGAAATAATATTAAAAGTAATAAAGTTAGTTGCTTAGATGGCTGATTAATATCTTTTTAATTTGAATGTAAATATTTCTATATTAAGAAACACATA